CGTGTTCTGGACTTGAGAAGAGAAAACTTTTCAACTATTTATAACAATTATTTCAAGGAGATGGATGTGGAAAGGTAGCAACTATTGGGTTTTGAGTTTAAATCTTAACGAAAAATCTTATTTTTAAGCTCTTAGAAAATTGAGAGATTTATTTATTGCAGAATGTACTACAATTTCTCGAGTGCTACTTTTTTCAGTGTCGAAGTAGACGGCTATCAACTGTCTATCCATGGCAGAAGCTGGCGCCAGTCAACCATTTGGCTAATTGTCTGCATTTATCAAGCGCCAAACAAGGCAGCGCAAAAAAGCGCATAGAATTTATAACAATTGTTTTACAATTTTACAATGACAAGGGAGCAGGGAGGAAGACATCACTTAGAGGCATTGTTGGGTGTCTGGGTGTGCGTTACTTTTATTTTTCGGGCGCGGCGCCACTTCTATTTAATATTGTGAAAATTAGAGCGGCAATCTGGCGGAAATATTTAGCCAATTGGCAACATTATTTAACGGCAGTTCTCGGATGCAGGCGCCTTGATTTATGCTGCAGCCTTTTCTTTCCCCTTAGTCGCTGACTACACCATTTTTATTATTTTTGTTTCTTTTTTTTATTTTAGTTCACCCTGATTTTGGTCTTGCAAAAACTTTGCAACTCACATGTGTGTGTGAGTGCGCAATTGTGCACTAATTTGCAGTTAGTTTAATAAATTTTCCACTGCACCACATGCGTGTGCGCAAAAGTTTGGCTAGTGCGGGTCGCAAACTTTTAATTTCTTGTTTGGCAAGCAGCATTGTGTCATAAATTTTTAGCGCTCCACCGGGCAGCAAACTGCTCCGGCATGTAGGCCTGTATGCATGTGCTTGTGACCCAGTGTGTGATAATTGTATTGGTAATTAATTCAGCCAGCAACGAGGCCTAAGCTAGCATCATAAATAAAGTCCAGCAGGGGCGCTTTCTGTATCCAGCCAAATGGCAATTAAGTCAAGGAAACAGTCGCCGCTCGATAAGAAGGTTGTCGCTTTTTTGCGCCCCATGATTTTACTACTTTTCTATGCAAATGAGCTGCAATCAGCGCCAGCAAATGAGAGCAGGGGCCAGTGCATAACAATGGCAGAACGAAGCAAAAATGTTAACACGAATTAGCCAGAAAATATGCAGTAAGATGCGAGATGGCAACAGGAACCGGATGCAATAAACTATGCACCAGCAGCCATAAAAAATAGACCCAGGACGTGCTTCTCCTATTGGGCGGCCTTCGAGAAGGCACAAATCTGAAGGTTAAGCTCGGGGATGCAACACTACAGCATTCAACTGAATATGTATAATTTTATTAGTATTGTATTTTTTAAGTTGAAGGTTATGCCACTTAAGCCAAGTTATTCAAGAAGTTGACTCGTTCTACCTCATGTCTATCCAAATCTCTATTTTCTATTGCCGCATGACACATTTCCAGCGACTGCCACAAGTCAGACTAACGATATGTGACATTTCCCCTTACTCCGACGCATAAACACTTGCTAACAAACATAAGGATTATGCAAATGAAGTAAGAGGCCCTTTGAAATTCATAAACATTTAATATTTTATGGAGCATTCATGAACATTTAGGCGGCAGTGCAAGTGTCGAATATATGTATGAGTATGTGTTTGGCAAAAGCAATTGCCGGTAGTTGTTGCCATTGTTTGTAGCTTTTGCTGCACGAGCTTGTTTGTTGTTTTTCGTTAAACACTCCGGGGCAGGTCACATAACAGTATTCATACTAAACCATATAGGTTCAGGTCCAGACAAAAAGATGGTGAATATTGTACATACCAATTATTGTTTGGGCAAGTAGACTTTTTTCGAATAAATTTAAGCTTCAATAATTTTTAATATATCCCAGAAGCCTAAAATATGAATAGGTGGTACTATTTCGACCACAAGTGTACACTATGCATATACAACTATGTACAGCAAAGGAACATACAACTATATGAATATCTAAGTGTTTTGCATGAATTTCATGTGCTCCATTGGTGAAATTTTACTTGTCATTGTTGCGTGCTGAATAAAAGATGAGGAACCTAACTGCTTGGAGGAGTTTGTGGGAGCAGGGCGAGAACCGGCACGAAGGAGAACTGGCAGGATTATCGCCGGTGAACTGCACTTGCTAATCACCCAATTTGGTTGCACGATTCAATCGGAATAAAAGCAGCTGGACCGAGCGGAATAAAATGAAAAGGGAAAAGGCTTTGGGGGCGAGGAGCCAGATGAGAGCGCCACTGCCATTCACGCAATTAACTAACTTGGCCCGAATGGCACTAAAGCTTTTATCTTATTATCCTGGCGAAATACCCAAAGCGCTGAGCGTTGACAAGCCAACACAAACAAATGAAGCTGGCAAGATGGCAAATAGTCAAAGGACCATGATGGTTGCAAAAACAGAAAGCAGCCGAAAATGTCCGCAGGTCCTCTTGCGAAAAAAAAGAAAATAACAAACCGTTTCCACAGCGAGAAAAGCGCATTAGGTCCTTTTCTTGCCTCTCCCTTTCTGGATGTCCCTTTTCTTCCGGTTTTCTTGTTTTTTTTTTTTGGCTCCTTTTTTTGTGGTATACGCTATCTCCCTCTTGTGGCCGCTTTGTTATTTCGATTTTATTCTCTAACGATTTTCCGCCTTTGATTGCGTACCTTTTTCTAGTTTTTACTTTTCACCTTTTTCGCCGTGTGGGGGTTATAAATATGAGCAAACATTTCACAAGATATCCTTAATTAAAGCAATTTCCTTTTGCGAGAAAAAGTAAAGGAGGAAGGACGGTTGCGTGTGCACGGCTTGGAATGAAATTTGCAAAAAGGACGGCCAAAGGAAATAAGCGCTGCTGCTACTGCCTTGTCCTCGCCATAAAGGTGCGACCGAAAAGCGCTGGGACAATGACCTGTTACGCACACTTACCCACACTGATACAGAGATACTCACCCACATCCACATCCACAGCCACACCTACACCCACACCCACACCCATACCAGATTTAACCAAGCAGCCGCATACACTCGGGGCCAAAAGGGTTAAGAGCGAATCTTCGTGTGGCCATTAACATGAAATTTTTAACGGGAGCCGCAGGACGAGCACCAGAGTTGCCAGGATTTTGGCGGGGTCACGTGGCCCGCCATTGTTGTCGCCCTGCTTATAACTCCATCTCCAACTTTTGGTTTGGTTGCTGGCGCAGCTTTTATTTTAATACACTAACTGAAAGTATGCATAGTTTTGTAGAAAGAATGGTCATGGGTTATAAAAATATGTAACCCATAAAAGAAGGTAATAGTTTTAGATTAATAAAAATTAATTGTTGTTTTATAAACTAAATATTAAAAAATTTATTTTTTGGATAGTTTGAGTCCATTCTCACTTTTTCAGCGTATTTTTTTTAGCTTTGTTGGGGAAATGCTAGGTCATAAGCAGGGCCGCATAAGCCAAATCTGCTTTTGTCTCCGGATCTTGATGCGGTTCCACTTTGTTTTTAAGCAGCAGTCAAAGGGTGAGAACGAGATGGGCGATCGCGGGTGAAAGAGAACGAAAGAGACAGGCAAGAGGACGTCGGTGAGTTCGTGAGTCCTCTTTCCCCTTTAGGTTGCTTTAATCCGGCGCGTATGTCCTTGCACAACATCCTTTGCATTGTTTGCGCTATAAATACACGATGCTGTAGGGGCGCAACGAGCAGAATGAAAACAACAACAACGCAACAGCCACCCACTACAGTAAGGACAACAACAACGGCTTATCCTTGGCGTCTTCGACGGCGTCGCCCAGGATGCGCCGCTTATTTATCGCATTTTTATGTGAAATAAACGATTCGGAATTGGCTACGTAAAACATTAATTTTATTGTGGAGGAAATTGAGATTGCACGACAAAACCACCTCCGTAAAAACGGCAACTTTTAAAAAGTTCTACAAATTAATTTTGATATTTTTTTTTAAGTCCATAATACAATATTTTCTAGAAACATATATATATTTAACGCCATTCTCTGCATCGAATGGATTTAATGCCAAAGAGTACTAAGCTTCAGTCTCACTTTAGGCCAAGATCAAGATGGATGGAAAACTGTATTACCTGTGCGGGTTATTATTCGTTCTTAGCCTCGTAGCTGAAACTCTTCAGCAGGAAACGACTGCAGCTCCTGCCGCTGCTGTAACGACTCCCTCCGCAGGTGGAGACAAACCAGGAACTGCAGAAACTGCCAAGCCAGAATCCTCCGGCGGCAGCAATCCAGCTTCAGGTTCTGGGTCCAAGTGCAAGCCATCAGAAGTGATGACCCAAAGCGGCTGTTATGATCGGGATTCTTTTTTTAATAATGTAATCATACGATCCTGGAATGACGAAGGATTTGATACGAAGAAACAAAGATCTGGAAGAGTTCAAAGTTCCAAATGCATTGCTGGTCAAGTGATGACTCCAGATGGATGCAGAAATTTGATGCAAATACCGCACAATGATGAGGCGCGTGTTCCAGTGCGACACAGTAGCTTAGTGGGAACTCAGGTGGTGCACTCGTACCACGGGGCCCACCTGGATTTGGGGAAACATAAGGACAACTATGATGCGAAAACAAAAAAAAAGTCTCGAAGTTTCAAAGGACCTGCCATCCAGGGACACAATCGACCACGCCCATTTGCATATATACCTGGAAGACTACTCCGTAGTCGAAGACAGTGCCGACCTTACGAAACCCTGGGTAAGGATGGAAAATGCATTCGGCGAACTGCATTGAGGACGGGGAAGTACGAGCACAGAAATCATTACTATGGATTGCAAAAGAGACATCGTCATGAGAATGGTGAAAAAAGTAAAAGACGGAGAAGGCGTTCTATAAATCGATATCTTAGTAAAGTGATCTTTAAGTAAAGTAACATCTTTTTTAAAGTTTTATTGAAATTAACTTTAAGTTAGATCAAAGATAATTTTTTCTTAACTACGTTAAATATACCCTGTCTATGACAAATGGATTTGTTCGACTGAAAAGCATATTATTAACTGTTTTTCAAACGGATATCAGATCACAGTTTCACTAAAAACAACATGAAACAAAGAGCCAAGGTCTTCTGGGAGCTTTTTGTAATATTTTCCCTTATAGGGATAACCTTACAGCAAGACACGACAGTAGCTGCTGTCACCACCGACGGAAGTACAAAAACCGCCGTCAGTGAAAAACCCAATCCTGCTGCTGCTAGTCCAGGGTCTTCGGTTGGAAGCAAACCAGCTTCTAGCTCCGGGTCGAGGTGTCAGCCATCAGAAATTTTAACCCAGGAAGGCTGCGTTGATCGGGAATTCTATTTGAACCGCATAGTCATGCGCTACTGGAACGACGAAGGATTTGATAAGAAGAAAGCCAGGTCTGGAAGGGTGCAAACTTCAAAATGTATATTAGGCCAAGTGATGACCCCGGATGGATGCAGAAATATGTTGAACAATCCGCACGATGGAGAGGCACGGGTCCCAGTACGTCACAGCCACTTAGTTGGCTCCAAAGTGCATCATTATTCTTATGTAGCCCAGCCGGATGAGGAGGAATCACAAAACCGCAAGCCCGCTAGGCATACCAAAGAGAGTGGGGGAGCTCACATTTTGGGTGAAAATCGACCTCGAATGTACGTATTTTTACCGGGAAGACAACTGCGCCATAAGAAAAGGTGTCGATCAAACGAAGTGAGAGGCATGGGAAACCGATGCATTCGCAGGAGAAGGGAACACACACGAAGACAACCTCATGAATCTCACACAACCCATCATCATGAATCTCACACAACCCATCATCCTGAGGCTGGCGTGCACACGGTAAAAGGCGCAGGAGAAGGTCATTAAACAAATATCTCTATTAGGCTAAATTTGTAATACTTTTTTATTATTTTGTAAAATATATTTCAAATTTTAAACAAAAATGGGGAGTTTATTTATAATCTTTCGAACATGAGCGTGGAATGCCTATCACACATTCATAAAGGGTTCTTGGCTTATTTGATATATTCATAAACATTTACTCAAAACTTAAAGGGATATTCGAGGTAATGTTGCAGAACAATTTCATTATTTCTAAACATACATAACAAAGGACCCTTTATCGCTTCTATGCAGTGCTTGAGAAATTCAATTTAATTTTATATAGTGTGGTCATGGTCGTATTGTTTTACGGCATGAACCTTTCTCTAGAATCCCATTGAGAGCAAATTAGTTGCTTTCCTTAAGTCCGAGCTATTGACAAAGGATTAATCAAAATAGATGGACGAGTGTGTGTCCTTTAAAGACCACACTTTGCCACTGATAGTATTAGCTAAAAAGGGATGAAAAGGAATTATGAACCTAATAGCATATTCAAACGGGATTTGCGCCTTTGGGTTGGCTTTTCTTTTCATGGAATAACACACTTTGAAATTGTTTTGAGCAAATTCCAGACACCATGGTAATATGGATGGCTTTGACATGCTAATTAGTTAACCTTGCACGCTTGTGTATGTGTGAGGAGGGAGTTTGTGTTTGAACTTTGGGCCACATTGCGTATACGCCACGTTTGACATATCCCAGGCACGGCAGCCAAGTGGCTGCGGGCAGCGCCCAAAACATGATGAATAGTTTTGCAATAATTACATTACACGGCAGTTTCACGCTCGGTCCGCCAGAAAGAAAGTCACACGTGGCTGCCACTTGGATCAAGTGTGGATCCTGCTCTGCACAGAGATTTATTTCCACATTAAAATATTTGTAAATCAAAAGATAATTGTTTAAAACAAAAAATGAAACACAAATTTATAATCTATTTTTTATGTTTTGGTTTTGGAAAAAAAACTTAAAATTTGAAGAACTATTTTATGTTATTGAGTTCAGTGGGCTTCATTTTGTTTTAATGGTTTAATTTTAATTTTATAATTTTACTAAAATGGAATCAAATTCATTTGATCCCTGTGTGAATATGCTGCCATTTTAGAGGCTAGAAGGGCATTAATCATGTTCGGAGGTAATTAGCAATTAATAACGTTTTGCAAACTGTAAATTTATCGCCTGCTGTTTCGTCTTAGGAATTTCCCATCATAAATTATGCTATTCAGCTTATGCAGGGAGTGAAAAATGATCCCGTGGCTATCAAATGTCTCAGTCATCGAATGCGATTTCCGTCAATTCAGCCATCCAATTCAGCCAATTCAGCTATTCAGCTTATGCAGGGAGTGAAAAATGATCCCGTGGCTATCAAATGTCTCAGTCATCGAATGCGATTTCCGTTTTATTTCACTTGACTCTTGGCTCGTTTGAGGATTTGCTTTTGCTTTGGCGCTTTTGCAGCTTATTGACTTGTCTGGAACTTTGACATCGCTTGCATATGAAATGCATATTTACAAATCACAAATTTAGTATTACTTCAAGCGTCTAGCTCAAATTGATGGATGGCTTAATCGAGGCTTATTGATTGAGGCCTAATTGCCTCCTTCAACTGTGTCGTATCAAGAGGCTATATTTGGCGTGTAATGACCAGCTTAGGTTAAGGTAAGTAAAGGCAATAAAATTAGACTTATTACAGTCAAACTACACTGTACATTTGTACTTCAAATACATTTGTACTGCCTTAATATACAAATATTCAAACAATAGAAGATGAAATGGGGAACCATAGTATTTAACGAATTTCACAAATTCCTGCTCACCGTCTCATTTAAATATACCCACTTGGTCGTAATACCTTAAGACATTTAAGTCCAATTCAGTCGGTCATATGATGGGCATAATTTATGGTTTCGCTGGGAGAGCGACGCGTGAAATTGACTTCTAATTGCCAGCAAATGAAATGTCACAGCTTTTGGCAGACCAGATTCTGAGGAGACTGCGGGAAAAGGGAGAGAAGGGTCTGACAGAGGGCTGCAAATCAGCCGAAGCTCATTTCGATACACTTGAGTTGATTTGTTGCGGTCAGGGGAACAGAGGCATTATATAGTATATGCCTATTTAAAAATAGATATGGATTTGGAGCTGGTGGCATTGGCAAATCTTGTCATAAATTCCATAGCCCATTCAAATAAATCAGTGCAGTGATTAGTGGCCGGCGCTCTTTTATTTATTAATGCATGTACATATAAAGAGTTTATTTATAGCCAACCGAGCATCGGATCATTCATGTTGCAACATTGCCACTTCCACTCGCATTTATTGGGCCACTTTGCTGGAATTTATGCGTCATTGCACCTGACGAAAAAATTCGAACATACAGCACTTGAAATGCTGGAAAAAGTGCAAGTAGTAATATGTGCATATAGTGGAGTAGGAGCAAAAAGCATGTGGCACATGACACTGGCACTCGTTTTATTTACATGCTGCTGCTTGACACGACAAGTGGCAATTACAAAAAAGTCGCTGGCTGATCATTTCGTTTCGCACCAAGTGGCATTAAAATGTTGCCATTTTCATTCTTCTCTCTCTACTGGAACATTTCAAGACCCAATTACCGCTTGGCTATATCTAAACTCCTATGGAATTCAATTCAATGCAGATGGTTGCCTCCGAATACATTCTGCCTGGTATTCCTTATTAATTTCTAACTACATACCTTAGCTTCGATTTCTGCTCACTGGATATACCATTGGCATTCGATTGAAGACTTATGCCTTGAACATTTGAATACATCCTGGTGTACTATTTAAGTGATTTCAATGGCCAGCAGATGCCGCTCGAATCGGCTCCCGTGGTTTTTATGGCACTACTGATTCAATTGTTTACACGTGTAATTAAGTTACCAGCGCAGTAAATGTGTTGATGATGTGTACAAATTTATTTACCATAATATTTGCATGCGATTAAGCCGATTTTTTGTTTCCTCTCTCTTTTAGCTGACCATTATTTTTATTACCACGGTCGCGATTCATAGGATGTCTGACTTTAAGTCAGACTACTCGTAAATATTCATACTATAGCCGTATTGTTGACAGAATTAAAACGGCAAATATGACACTCGAAAAAATAATAAAGCAATCAGTTAAGCGCAGCTACTGGGCTGGCAATTATTTTAATTGTTTACTTATTCCAACGAAACTCCCTTTATGTGTGTTTGTTTGTTTTTTCGCTCTGCCCGAGCGGCGATGCAATGAAATTTTATAGCCCTATAGTTGTGCTAAGCATTAACTTAAAATATGCACAAATGTTAACAAGCGCCTCGGATGATGTCAATTGCGATAAAAACGGGCTCGTAAACGCTACGTTACGCATACGCCATGTCATGCAGGAGTTCCGACGACGCCATTTTGCCTAGATGTTGTCAAACATGGCCAGACAAGGACCACTGGACAAAAGGAACACCTCACTCATTGGCTTAACCAGCGACTGCGGAGCAGGGTCGGAGAAGAAAGGATAGGAATTTGTCGAAACTTATATCAGTGTTGAGCATTGGATTACAAAAAATTACACATAATTAGCTTTCAAATCAATAAAATTTATACTATTTATTCAAATTTCTGCGCCAGTTTTTATTTATTTTCAATATTCAAAGGGTAAATTTTAACCCAATAACTTTTTCACTTTTAAAGCCAAATGATCAGCACTATGATATATCAACATTCTGATGCTTGTTCCATTTTGTAGTTGAGTTGCGGGCGTTTAAGAGCGAGGGACGGATATATACAGCCAGAGACCCAGAGAGACTGTACACGGCCCTGTTCGTCGTACCGGATTCCAGGCTCCGTACTCTGCGAGCCGGACTCCATGTTCCGTGTTCCGTGTGGCTGTGCAGATAATGCTGATGATTTTGATGTTCGTGTCATTGTCGTTCGAAAGCGTTATGCGTGACGAAACGGAAGCTCTTAAAAGGCACAATGAATAAACGCTCAAAATGAGGCCAAAAGCCGCCCAAAAAAGCAGCTACCGAGGACTGGTGTCTGATTTCTGGCAGGCAGTGTCCTGCGGTTCGCCATGGCACATTAAGAAGGACTGTGGGCCACTCTTTCTGGTTGTAAATTTCCCCTGTTTTATGCGCATTTCGTTACGCTCTGATGCCGAATCCGCCGCTTTCTTGGCCGGAAACTCGGCTCCGGCCAAGGCAATCGCCACGCCCCGCAAATATTTCCGTCGGAAAACAGGCCATGGAATCAGAAACGGAGACGGAGGCGGGAAACCGTGCGGTTCGGTGTGAGGTAGCATTATTTTAATTAGATGCCAGAGTGCCTGCTGGTGGATGATGCGTCAAAAAGATCGAAGGACAGCTGTGCTCCACATTATTTAATTGAATTAGGCCTAAACCTCTGTCATATATCGTGCTCTTCCGGGAGTCTAATGCATTTTTAATACAGCCAAATGCCAAATTTGCATATAAGCTCTTGGCATTAGCATAATTTATAAGCATAATTTACACATATTTACGGCATACTCTCGTGCAAACATCCAAGCAGGCAATTTGCTCCGCTGCCATTTAAATATCAATAATCCCAAGGCCCACTGACCGCAAAGCCATTCCTCACGCCATCTCTGGCCAGGACTTAGACATATTGGTTGCAGGCCACACAGCCACACCAGGCCGTAAAAAATCACCGACGAAGGCTCGCCTGACGACGGAGTCTATCTGTCAAATACATCAAATCTTCCGCCCCTCATAGTCCGCCTCCGTCTCCGCCTCGGGCTGCGGGTGCGGCTCCCCTCTGAGAAAACATGTCCAACAGAGTAGAGCTAAGCCGGGAATCGGGGTCTGAGCCAAGTCTGAAATGTGTATATCATTTGGATTGATTGCTGGGCCCGTACACAGGCCAACGAATGAAACACTAAGAAAAATAGTAAGGGGTTACAGGATTACGTACCAATAATTTAAGGAATGGCTGCTTATACTTAGTTTATAAATTAGTC